GCCAACTTGATTGTAATGTATGATCTTTTTGATATATTGATGATTGTGGTTTGCTAATATTATGTTGAAGGTTTTTGCGTCTATGCTCATCAGGACTATTGGCCTATAATTTTTTTTAATATCTTTGTCTGGTTTTGGAATTGGAAAAATGTTGGCCCCTTAAAATGAGCTTGAAAATCTTCTCTCCTCTTGAATTTTTTGGAATAATTTAAGAAAGATGCATGTTAATTCTTTGAAGGTTTGGCAAAATTCACTGTGAAGCCACTTGGTCCAAAAATTTTGTCGGAAGTATTTTGCTTACTGATTTGATTTTGTTGGTAGTAATTGGTCTGTTCAGATTTTCTGGTTCCTCTTGATTCAGCTTTGGAAGATTGAATGTTTCCAGGAATTTTTCCATTTCTTCCATATTCTCCAATAGTTGGTATATAGTTGTTCATAATATTTTCTTACCGTCTTTCATATTTCTATGTCATTTTGTATCAGTTGTCACTTGTTCTCTTTCATTTCTGATTTTATTTATTTGCATCTTTTCTTTTTCTTTTCTTGATGAGTCTAATTAAGCAGTTCAAACTTGTTTATCTTTTCAAAGAACCAGTTCTTCGTTTCATTGATCTTTACATTATTTTTTCCTAAATCAGTGGGTTCTAGTGCCTACTGAAACCTTCCTTTAGGTGTGCCAATTGTGGAGCTAATGGAGTGGTGTTGTGTTGTGATCTGAAGCTGGCCACCCAGCACGTTGGTTCTGGGGCCTCTTGGGAGGGATTCTGGTGCATGTTCCTGTCAGACACTGCCTGAGACTGCCCTGGGGCTACCTGTGAGGAGCTACAAAGAAATTTTCAGTTGGTAGCTGCTTGTGTTGGGCTCGGATACCTGTGGGAAGGGTTACACTGAGAACCAATGCTGGCTGCCCTGGAGCAAGTTAGACCCATCTCTGTTAGACAGTCACCCATGAAGCTCAGCTACTGAAAGAGCCTCAGGTGGAACAAAACTTGGGTGAATCAGGGTCTTGAGTCATCATTGTGGAGCTAATGGAGTTCACCAGGCTAATGCAGAATTAGGTTAGGCTGTGTAGTGGGAGGTCTCAAAGAAGGTACAATGGCAGCTATTTCGTTAGCTCTCTCACTGAAGCCACACAGTTCTGTTTCAACTTATATGTCTGGCATACACAAAGCTTGACTAGATTTTTTAAAGAAAATCTTTAATGTGTGCCCAGGTTGGTTGCCACTGAAAGAGCCTTGGCCATGAACAAGTGATTGGGTAGGATCTCAGGGAGCTAATCGAGATCACCAGGCTAACACAGGTTCATATTTGGCTGTGTATGGAGAGGGCTCAAAACAGCAAAGATGGCTCCAGTCAGCAATGTAGGAGGATTCAACACAGGGACTGTGGCAGCTATCCTTCCAGCCCTTGCATCAAAGTCACACAACTCAGTCTTTCCCCTTATGTCTCTAGTGCCCCTCTCCCCAATAGCCACCATCCCTTCTCCAGAACCTAAGATGAGTGCCTGCAAGCAAGAATTTGTGTGCTGGCCCTGTAAGAGAGAGCTTGAGTTTCTAGCAGCCTTCTGTCTCACCCTCTCACTGCCTCACCAGGAAGGAAGAGGAATCCCTGCTGATTTTCACAGCCAGATGTTCTGTGAGATCCTCTTCCCGGCTCTTGTGTACCAGGCTGGGGAGCTCCATGTGCAGCTGAGACCCCTTGCTTCTCAGGAGACCTCTGCAGCTGAGATATCCATCCAGATTCTCAATTGCCACATGTGGGTATGAGGTCAGCCCCTTTTGCATCTTTGCTCCTTCTACTAATCTCAGCATGACTTCTTTTATATATCCTTCATTATAGGACTGCTGTCCAGATAGTCTTTATTTAAATGATTATCCAGGTTGATTGACCTATAATTTAGTTGTAGTTTTGGTGTGTTCATGGAAGGAGTTGAGTGCAGTGTCTACTTACTCTGCCATCTTGACCAGACCCCACTGTTCTTTGATATTTGTAAGACAACTATAACACAACTGCTTTTCCTTAAACTTCACTGCTTCTTGTTGTAATTAGTTGTGATTATCCATACTGTCCAGTATAGGGGAACTAGCTTCTTCTATTACATTCTAGAATGCTGTGATCCTACTACCTCCCTTCTCCTCCAGACTGACCTTATGCTTAGAGGTACATCTAACCGGAACAGTCATTCTTCCAATGTGCTCTGGGGCCTCAGCCCAGGAAGAAAAACTTTAGAGGAGCAGCATGAAGACCCCACTCAGATTACCCAAAATAGCTCCCTGTGCCTCCTGCCTGTTCTTCTACCATTTGCAATCCACTTCTTCTTTAGACATGTGCATGCTTCCACAGGATTTAGTGTGATATCAGAAATTTGAGTCTTTGCTCAGCTATCTATGAGAAAGGTCACCTCAGGCTCTGGGAGTTGAAGATGTATCTGACATCACCAATACAGCAGGGACTCTGAGTTCAGAATTTATTTCTCCCTATTGTGAAACCTTGATTGAAGTGGGAAAAATGGACTTAGGTAAGGAATCATCTTGCCTCCTTGTTCCCCAGATCAATCACCATGAAATTTTCTCTATCTATTCTACAAATACCTCCAGAGCTTATGCTAACTGGTTGAAGAGATGTTTAAAATATAAGTAAAATTCTTGCTACATTAAGAACTACATTCTTGTTTCTTGTTTTTTTTCCCTTCAATTAAATCAAGTCCCTCCATTCCCTATCACCTGCAAGCTAAAGTAACTATAGAAATAAATTAACAAGTGGCTGATCCCCACAGGCAGAGCCTCTACCTCCTCTTTCAGTCTCACACCCTCAATCCCTCACATTCATGTGTATCTTCCTTTACTCCCAAGGCTAAAATATCCCCAGGAAAAACACATCTGTTTTTGGTAAGCTTTGTGCTAGACTTATCTGTGAAAGATCTTGTGAAAATGGGTGCATATCTAAGATTATGAAACTGATATAGCTCTAGTTATTGCAAATCTATCTTGGCTTTGGTTTCTGAAACTTGTAAAATAAGGGAGCTGGGCTATTGCAAAAATGGCAAAAAAAATTTTTTCATTTACCAATTGCTCGGTAGTGGCTATCCAGAACTGAGATGAAAGGGATTCTGAAGCAACACCCAGATCCAGAGAGGATTCAAGCATCGATTAGCAAGGTTGGTCTTGGGCAAGAACAGGAGAGAAGCATCACTTGCCACCCCAGGATTAGATTATCCTTTAGATTTATTCCAGCTCTGAACTGCTGAAAATTTAATATTCCCATGGCCTCCTTTCACAGAATTAACCTGTGCTTTGGTGCTTTGGGGATCCTTCCTCTATTCCTACTGTCTTTTTAGGAACTCTTTGACCAACCTATGATAAGGCACCAACTGTTGGTGAGAGTCTAGAGGTCACTGCCATCACACTGTGTGACTTGGGTAAGTCACTTCTACACATTGTTTCTCAGTGACATGGAGGAAGGGTCACAAGATGCTATTTCAGGTCTCTTCCAGAAAAGCAAATCCATGATTCTATTATACTGGAGTCACAGTTCCTTGGTACAAAGAAACTAGTGGCTTACAGTGGATCCATGGGGTTTTAGAAGGGCCATCCATAATTTTCTTCTCTTCCTTTTCTTTGTAGCAACAGGGAAGGTAATGGACTCCTTTCAGTCCTCAAATCTCAAATCATACCCATAGTCTCCCCACTTCCCTGTCCATTGGATCAGGCTGGCCTAGAGCTGTTGTGCATGTAAAGAAACACATGAAGCAGAGGCAGAGGGCAATGGGCAGGGAGTGCAATGGGTCAGTCAAAGCTACATTTTGGGGAAAATGACTATTGGAGGAGTCAGGAGGCAGGGTATGTAGTCATGCTCTGAAGATAACTAATAAAGAATGGGTTTGAGTTCTTAGATCCAGCAGAAAGCAGAAGAAAACTGTAGGGAAAGTACCTATGTATGGTTGGGGCAGATGAGCAGAACTCAGAGATGGGATGTCTGGATTCTGATCCAGTATTGGCACTAATTTGCTGTGTGACCTTGGGCCAAAGACCTCTTTCCTCCAGGTCTCAGTTTTCTTTACACATACTAATCAGGGGACAAATAGTACAAGTTGATTCCTATGGGCTTTTTAGTTCTAATACTCTGTGGGTCCAATTCCAAGCTCCTATCATTGTCTGTATAGACATAGGTGCCCTCAATGTGCACAGTTATGAAAGCAGTGAGCATTTTTGTAGAACAGACTACCCTGGGAGGGAGGGAAGAAGGGGAGGGGGCTGCTGCCTCCTGAACAGAGCACGTTAAAGTCTAAAAAGCCTGAGAACACAGGCCAGTCATACCTGGGATGCAGTAACTGTAATGGGGCTTTCAAAAACATAAGTGTCCTGTTGTCTTATCTCCCCCATTTAAACTTAAACTTCAGAGAGACAAAGCTTACTCACTAGAATTTCAGTCTCTCTGAGTTAGAGCTGACTTTAAAGCACATCTAGTTTCAATCCTTTACCTCATGAACAAGAATTCTCTCTATGCCACCAAAGTATGGCTCTCACATGTGATTGTATACTGCCCCCAAGATAATTTATATAGTGAAAGGCAGGGTTAAATAATCCTTTCATTCAACCTGTGTCCTGCCCTCTGACCCCAGAGATTTCACAAGACCAAACCACTAGCTAAAGATCCAATCAAGATGGTTCTCCTAACACTGGTGAGAGTTCACTGGGTGCGTGAGACAAGCGTGGGACACATGTTCCCCTCACCCACCACCTGGGTCTGCATAAGGGTTTGAGCATCACCAGGGGTAGAAATTGCGTCTTAGTCAATGGTACTTGCCCCAGTGCTGAGTATAGCACTTTGCATGATGTGAAATAAGAGAAAATTTAAATAAAAACTAACATTGGTGCCCCCCAGAAACTAGAACAGCGCTCTGTACTCAGATGTTTCTCTTGTTTACAAACTAGCAAAACTCTGCTGCCCCCTGTCCTCAGAAAAAAGACTTGTCCTGTGTACTCAGTCTAAAGTGAAACTTAGTGGTGTCTGGTCGGAGAAACTGAAACTGTTATTTCTTCCTGCACATCAAGTAAAAGAGAGAGCTTCTCACTAAACATGAACTCCAAACCTCAAGAGAGAATAATTTTGGATGTTGGAACATGGGAAAAGATATTTCAAGAACTGATCCAGCAGGTAAAACCCCGGGCCAGATGGACCCTGAAGTTGGATGAGACTCTTCAGCCAGACTATGTGGCCCTAGAGTGGAAGCAATACCAGCAAAAAGCATTTGGCAGGTAGGTGAGAGTTTGCTTAGCAGTCAGCTTTCCTAGGCAAAGAGGCTCAGCTTAGCATTGACTGATTCCTTTGAGAGCTTGTTAAAAGGACAATGTCATGCCCTGGCCGGGTGGCATTGTTGGTTGGAATATTGTCCCATACACCAAAATGCTGTGGATTTGATCCTCAGTCAGGGCACATATCTAGGTTGTGGGTTCAATCCTTGGTCAGGGAGCCTATAAAAGGTTGATTGATGTCTCTCTCTCTCTTTCTCTTTTTACCTTCCCCTCTCTCTAAAACCAATAAACATACTTCTGCTGAGGACTTTTTTAAAAAAAGAAGCAGAAGAGCAAATACCACTAGGCTTTTCATCCTTTTGTGGTCACAGTGTTCTTTAGAATCTAAATTAGACTTCCGAGCCCCAGTTTTGCTTACCTGAGGAAGTTTCTGCTTTTATTAGATTTCCTCCCTAAATATTTCTTGGAATCTGGAGGAATATTTCCATATTTCATAAATCTGTCCTCCTATTTTCACACCATCTCATTTGTTCCAGACTGCCTCTGTCTAATGTCTTCTGCTACCTCTCCTGGCAGTTGGCTTTCCTAGGCTGTAGCAGCCCTGCTAGGCTTGTTTGGGAACAGCCCTCCGCTGGGGCCTTCCGTTAAAGCCCCAAGAACTGATGCATGCCAAGCAGTCGCTTTGAATATTGCTTTACTAAAAACCTGGGGATAATAAAAGTGAAATATGCTACAAGAATGAAATATAAACCCTAGTGTCAGGAGTCCCTAACTAACGCCTCTTTCTTACCGGCCATCTTTTGCTTCAGCCTCCAGTGAGACTCCAAGTGGCAGGAACCAGCTTCCTCGCCCATGTCAGGAGGGTGGAAATTGCTGACCTGGACGATCTTTTCTTTTGATATGGCCTTCAGGGACCTTCCCTCTACTTCCCACCTCACCCGCTTCCCTGCCTGCCTCTATCCTGCCTCAGGTATCCTCTGCTTTGTTCCTTAAGAATTATTAACCATGCCATGCATTTTCAGGCTTCTATTCCCTTGTCCATGATTTCTGCTTGTTTGGAAGACCCTTCTCTTTCTCCCTCTTTATTCATCCTTTAAGAACCAACTCAAGCTCTACCTGCTCCTTAGAGCATTTTCTGCTCTTCCTAAAGCAGAGCAAGGTTTCCTTCTCCATTCCCATATGACAATGCATATTGTCACACTTCACTTATATATAATAAATGTATTGATAACATATATGTATATGTTACCTAGAGCATATATTAAATATAGAGAATGTATATAATATTTTTAGTGGCAGAATCCATTATTGAAATGAAGCCTCTGGGGTGCTGCTGCAGAACAGTTTTCAAGGCACTGGCCCGAGCCTATGCAGCAGCCCTTCTGCTCTGCTTTTTAAGCCAATGAGCTGTGGAAGTGTCTCTAATCAGCCAGGGCTGCTTCAGGCACTTCCTCCAACAGGAAGGCACTTCTCTAGTTCAGATGAATTGATCTCATAGTCATTCTGAGATAGGATAAGCAACTTACCAATGTAGCATTGAAAAATATCAACCTGTTTTTGAAAAGCATTTTGTTGTTTACAAAGTGCTTTCACATGTGCCATCTCCTTTAATGATGCCAATATAATCCTTGAATATTTTTCACTTGATGGATATAAAAAGTGAGGCTTTCAGTAGGAAAGTGCTTACTCCAAGGTCCCCCTGATGGAAACTATGCACTCAGGTGTCCAACCCAAGTATTATGACCCCAGGTCCTAAGTTTGTTTTGGTAGGTGCAAAAGTAGCCACATTGCTCATTAGAGGTGATGCTGTATAGTAAGTAAATAAACAAGTTTCACTTTGAAATGGCTGGGGACTAAAACATGACTATACAAATCGTGTACGTTCTTGAGCAAGCTTAATCACCCTTATGACTCAGTTTCCTTATCTAGATACTGGGTTCAACAATGCCTTTGTCAAAGGACAGCTTTAAAGATGAAATGGGATAATGCCGTAAAGCACCAATTACAATGCCTGCTTCAAAATAGGCACAGCAGTTCGCTCTTATGCATGGTTTCACTTTCCGTGGTTTCAGTTAACCACAGCCAACTGTTGTCCAAAATATTAAATGTTAAATTCTGGAAATAAATAATTTAAAAGCTTTAAATCATATGCTGTTCTGAGTAGCCTGATGAAATCTTGTGAAGTCGCACTCCAACCTGCCCAGGGTGAGAATTATCCCTTTGTTCTGCATCTCCACACGGGATATGCTCCCCACTCATCAGTCACTTAGTAGCCTTCTCAGTTATCAGATCTGTTGTCCTGGTATCACAGAGCTGGTGTTCAAGAGACTTTTGTTTTAGTTCATCAAGGCCCCGAAGTGCAAGAGTAGTGATGCTGGCAATTTGGATATGCCAAAGTGCTTCCTTCAAGTGAAATGGTGAAAGTTCTTGGCTTAATAAGAAAAAAAATTATATGCTGAGTTTGCTATGACTTATGGTAAGAATGATTTTTTTTCAAATCCATGAAAATGTGAGGAAGGAAATAGAAATTTGTGCTAGTTTTGCTGTTGCATCTCCAACTGCAAATCTTACAGCCACGGTGCATGGTAAGTGCTAAGTTAATATGGAAAAGGCATTACATTTGTGGTTAAGAGACATAAACAAAATTATATCACAATTGACTGCAATGTGTTGTGCCAGAAAGCTTTGAGCCTGGAGGAAGACTCCAGCAGCCGATCCATGAAACAGTGGACATTTACTGCAAGTAAGGGACAGTCATACAGATTCAGAAATAGGTTTGGGCTAAACAATATAAACATTGCTGAAGAGTATTAATTACAATTGTTCTATTTTACTACTAGTTATTGCTGTTAATCTCTTGCTGTGTCAAATTTATAAATTAAACTTTATCATAGGTATGTATATATAGGAAAAAAGTACATTCATGGCTTGGTACCACCCACAGTTTTAGGTACCCACTGTGGGGGCTCTCGTGTGCCTGTGGATAAGTGAGGACCACTGTGCTGCATAAGAGTTTTCTTTGACCGTTGTGAGGACTAAATTTTGCTGGCAGGCGGCAGAAATGTTTTCCCAGAGATGTCTTACTGGCAATACTGGCAAAGAGGCAGACTTAGAATCATGTATGGGTGGAAGCTCAACAGGTCACAGAAAAAAAGCTTTACTGGAAACACAGTTTCTCTTATTCTCATTGGTCAATTTGTCAATATCACATATACTTTTTCAAATTGAAAGGGCTTTTAGAGACCAAGGCAGGACATTTTCCTAGGTCAACAATCAACTGAGGGAACAATGGGCTTCTTCCTTCCATCTGCAGGTTCCGGTGTTCCTCATGCAGGCGAAATTGGGCTTCTGCCCAAGTGAAGATCCTGTGTCACATGCACCTGGAGCCCCGGAAGTCCCAGGGTCAGGTGCTTATGCGGCTCTTTGGTCAGAGGTGCCAGAGGTGTTCCAGGTCTCAATTCGAGAAGCCCGAGTTCTCTTCAGATAGCACCATGAGGATTTTGAACAATCTGGTGCAGCGCATTCGGGAGAAATACTACGGAGATGGCATCAAGAAGTACTCAGAGATTCCGGTGATCCCGGAGGTGCCTCTGGAAGGGTCCCACGACACGGCCAATTGTGAGGCATGTGTTCTGGGCTTCTGTGTTCAGAGCTTACAAGACTGCACAACAAAACCATCCAAATCCCCTGTCTCCTACATGGAAATGGGGAGCTCTCTGTCCCACATCGGTGACATACGTGGACAAAACCAAGCTAGGAACCAGCCAACTGGACCAAAGGGAGCTCAGGGGAGTAGGTGTTCCTTTGAGCATAAGGTGTCGGGGCCCAGCCATGGCACTGCTGGAACCCAAGTGCCTGGGGCAGGCTCTCAGCCAAAACAGAAGATAAGCCAACAACCCACACCAAGGGCAGCCCGGCAGGCTGCACGTGGAACAGGGTCTCAGCCCATCCAAGTAGCAGGATCACTTCCCCCAGGGTGGACAGAGCCACAGCGCACACGAGCAGTAAGCCCATTACTTTCAGTGGGGGCAGATTCGCAATCCACCCTGGGGACAGGACAACAGACCCATCAGAGGACATACTCTCAGGCTCTAAGGAGGTCTGGCCAACAGTCAAAACAGGAGACAGGTTCACAAGCCACACCAGGGACAGGTCTTCAGGCTATAAAGGGGATAGACCCAAAGCCCACACAGAGAGCTAATATCACAGATACACATGGATCTGGGAGCTTCAGGGGAACTCAAGCTTCCCCCACACCAGGGACAGGTCTTCAGGCTATAAAGGGGATAGACCCAAAGCCCACACAGAGAGCTAATATCACAGATACACATGGATCTGGGAGCTTCAGGGGAACTCAAGCTTCCCCCACACCAGGGACAGGTCTTCAGGCTATAAAGGGGATAGACCCAAAGCCCACACAGAGAGCTAATATCACAGATACACATGGATCTGGGAGCTTCAGGGGAACTCAAGCTTCCCCCACACCAGGGACAGGTCTTCAGGCTATAAAGGGGATAGACCCAAAGCCCACACAGAGAGCTAATATCACAGATACACATGGATCTGGGAGCTTCAGGGGAACTCAAGCTTCCCCCACACCAGGGACAGGTCTTCAGGCTATAAAGGGGATAGACCCAAAGCCCACACAGAGAGCTAATATCACAGATACACATGGATCTGGGAGCTTCAGGGGAACTCAAGCTTCCCCCACACCAGGGACAGGTCTTCAGGCTATAAAGGGGATAGACCCAAAGCCCACACAGAGAGCTAATATCACAGATACACATGGATCTGGGAGCTTCAGGGGAACTCAAGCTTCCCCCACACCAGGGACAGGTCTTCAGGCTATAAAGGGGATAGACCCAAAGCCCACACAGAGACCTAATATCACAGATACACATGGATCTGGGAGCTTCAGGGGAACTCAAGCTTCCCCCACACCAGGGACAGGTCTTCAGGCTATAAAGGGAATAGACCCAAAGCCCACACAGAGAGCTAATATCACAGATACACATGGATCTGGGAGCTTCAGGGGAACTCAAGCTTCCCCCACACCAGGGACAGGTCTTCAGGCTATAAAGGGGATAGACCCAAAGCCCACACAGAGAGCTAATATCACAGATACACATGGATCTGGGAGCTTCAGGGGAACTCAAGCCACCCGGGGAAGCCAGGACAGGTATTCACACAGAGCGCCTGTTCCAGGCAGCTCTTCCAGGTCCTTTGTCTCAATGGCACCGCGTAACTCCGGTGGCCAGGATAGCTTACTCAAGGTGGGCTGTCTCATCTGTATTGCTGCTCTTTATGCCTGGGTTGTAGGCAGATACTTTCACTAGGATGATGAAAATAAGCTTGTCTTTTCCTCTTGTCTTAATTTCATGGTAATCAATGAACTAATATAACAAAGAATTTGATTTGAGACCAAATAGGGTGGAGTTTATAGGCTAACCCTTGGTCTCCTGGACTTCATTTGCAGGTAGCCTAAAACATGATCTAGCAGATAATAAGCCCAATAATAAATATTTGTGGAATAACTAAAAGGTGTTTGTTCATTTATTCACTCATTCATTCATTGGTATCAATATTTATAGACTGTATTTTCACCAGAATTTGGGGTCATGAGTATTATTAGAAAGTTATTGTGTAGGCTGAATAATGGTCCCCAAAGATGTTCATGTTCTAATCTCTAGAACCTACAAATGTGTTACCTTGTATAGCAAAAGGAACTTTGCAGATGTGATTAAGAATCCCAAAACTGAGAAGTTATCCTACGTTATCAAGATGGGCCCAGTGTAACCACAAGGGACCTTATAGAAAGGAAGTAAGAGGCTCAAAGTTAGGAAAAGGAGATATAATGATGGAACAGGAGGTTGGAATGATATGTTTTGAAGATGGAGGAAGGAGCCACGAGCCAAGGAATGCAGGCAGCCTCTAGAAGCTCATAAACTCAAAGGCAGATTCTCCCTTAGAACCTCCAGAAGGAGCCAGATCTGCTGACACATGACTTTAGTCCAGCGGGACTAATTTTAAGCTTCTGACCTTCCAGAATTATAAGATAATAAATTCATGTTGTTTTAAGACACTAAATTTGCAGTAATCTGTTAACAACAATAGGAAATAAATAACAGTTATCGACAGCACTGCATGGGTCAGGCTATTATGTTTTAAATATGCTCCAGTTTTAACAAGAAAAAGAGCATTTTATAAATTAATAATATTTCCATGGCTGGGTGGCTCAGTTGCCTGGAGCTTGGAGCATCATCCTACAAACCAAAAGTTTGCAGGTTCAATTCCCATCATGGCACACACCTAGGTTGTGAATTGAATGCCCAGTCAGGGAGTGTCAGGAGGCAACCAATTGATGTTTCTCCCTCACATTAATGTCTCTCTCTCTTCTTCCCTAAAAAAAAAAAGTTAAAAAGTAAAATAAAATAAAATAAAATTTATATACCCATCCCCCTGTTCCTCTTTCTCTCCTACTCATCCAAAATTTCCACCCTAAAGAGATTACCTTTGTCTTTGATCTTGAAGCTATCATATGCTCTCACTTCTTCCAGCATTGGATTGGAAAGAATTTAAGAACTTGCCAACCTTGAGATGTTGAGATGCATGGGGACGTCTTTGGCTCCTTCTTTCCATCCATCTACTAGGCATTTCTACAAGGCTGTCTTTTCATTTCCTACTAGGTCACTCTCACCAGCACTCCCTTTTTAAAAATGCCACTCTGCCCAAACCACCCTACTGAATTTCTGCATTCCTCCTGTTTTCATACTTTTTGGTTCTTTTACAGGAAACACTGGCCTGGGTACTAGACACTTTACCTCTAGCCTGATTATGCTTATGACCTGGGACAAGTCATTATCCCTCCCTGGGCTTCAGTTTTTCCACCTATAAAACAAATTAACATCTTCCAATGAAATATAGAGGATTAAAACAAATGTATTTCCTGCTGATCTCTCTTGAAACCTCACTGTCCATAAAAGGAAAAAAGGCATCAATACACAAGGTCAAAGAGAATGGGTTGAAGCTAGAAAGCTGATGAATTAATGATAGGCAAGTGACTTAGCAGAGTAGAGAGATCTGAAAGAGAAGGTAGGCAAGGGAAAACTGAGGTACAAGGCAATTCAGGCAGCACAGTTTCAGAGAGCTTAAAAAACAGTAGGCACCAAGAAGCTCTGAAGGTGGTACCTAGGAAGGTTGAAGTAGGAGGGCTGGCTGAATGCCTGTACAGGCCTGTATGCCAAGTTTCTTTCCCCCATTTCTAAGTGGCCTAGTAATCACTCTTAACTTACTCTAGGGAGATTGGAGGTTTATACTCTGAAGACATTGACACAGAGGGATTCTGGGCTCAGGGACCCAGGCATGGCTCAGCAATCAGAAACATTGTGAAAGTCTACATTGCTAAGTAGTGGGACTTTCTCAGCCCACTACCAAACCTAGGAGCCAACCTTGTGTCCTACCCACCCAACCCTCAAACACACAGGAGAATGAATGGTACCTCTTGGGAGAAACTGATTAGTTCAAGAGGAAAACAATACTTATAGTGAAATGGGAGATCATAGGAAGATTCCTCTAATGGACTAACCAATTCAGATAGCTCCAGAGTAAACCCATCAGATGCTAAGACCCTGCAGAGCCTCCAGTCAGCTTTTTAGCGTCTCACAGTTGCATTTGGAACAATAGCCAAGGGAGTATCAAATATTTGATAAATTTCCCAGTGTGAAGGTAAAGAAGGGATAAAGGTTAAAAATGGGAAATCAGAATAAAAATAGATAATTCAAGGATAAGAAGACAAAAAATATTTAAAAAGTAAAACTAGTATTGATACCTCAGAAAGATAAGAGAAGGTACAATATTTATGAAAAACTAATTGGGCATGATCCTCTGGGACAGCCTCAGGTGGGACATTTCCCTGTGGCTGAAAGCAAGTCCTTGGGATGGTCTCAGCTATAAGCCTGCAGCAGGCCATGCTTCCAGAAGCTGGGGAGATGAGTGCTCTAGTCCTGAAAGAGGGATCAGGGAGCACACCACAGCCTCCATCCACTGCAACCCAGGCTTTGGACCACTTGGATCTATTTCCTACATATATAAAGTTCTGCATCTGGGAAAAGGTTCTCCACTACTTTTATTTTTCCTGAAAATAAGAAACAAGGAAGAGGGAAGTTTAATGGGCAATCGAAGCCTCCAACCCCCACTGCTACATCTGGTCTTGGGATGGCAACTGGATACTCCTGATCTCCCTTTACTACCCATTCTTGATTCCCCTTACCTTGGCACCTCTGTTGTTTAGGTGGCTTAACTAATGGGGTTATCCAGACCTTCATCCATGAGGAGTTTGAGCCCTTGGTCACAAGGCTTTTCTGTTTGTGGTATCTGCATTTGCCCATCTGCTGTCAAAATTGGACAAGAAAGTACCAAGAGATGCCCTGGTGGAACACTTGGGTGTCAAATATATTCTTCCTACCCACACTGTGTAACAGCAGTCTATTTTCCTTTGATGATCAGGAGAGTGACTCTTTATCTTGCTGGTTGATCTCTTGGCAAAAGATCTCTGAAAAGACCAGCCATAGCCGTTCATGAGATTCTTACTGAGTTCCTTTTTTTTATATTGTTTTTTTATTTTATTGATTATGTCATTACAGTTGTTCTATTCCCCCCTTTCATTCCCCTCCACCCTGCACTCCCCTGCCCCCATTCCCCCCTTTAGTTTATGACCATGTGTCTCAAGTTCTTTAGATTCTGTATTTCCCATACTATTCTTGCCCTCCCCCTATCTATTTTCTACCTACCATCTATGCTACTTATTTTCTGTACCTTCTCCCCCCTTCTCCTCCTCCCACTCCCCTGTTGCTAACCCTCCATGTGATCTTCATTTCTATGGTTCTGCTCCTGATCTAGCTGTCCTTTAATTTGCTTTTGTTTTAGGTGTGGTTGTTAATAACTGAGTTTGCTGTCCTTTCACTGTTCATATTTTTATCTTCTTTTTCTTAGATAAGCCCCTTTAACATTTCATATAATAAGGGCTTGGTGATGATGAACTTCTTGAATTTGACCTTATTTGAGAAGCAGTTTATCTGCCCTTCCATTCTAAATGAAAGTTGTGCTGGATAGAGTAATCTTGGTTGTAGGTCTTTGGATTTCATGACTTGGAATACTTCTTTCCAGCCCCTTCTTGCCTGTAAGGTCTCTTTTGAGAAATTGCTGACATTCTGATGGGAACTCCTTTGTTGGTGACTGTCCTCTTATCTCTTGCTGCTTCTAGAATTCTCTCCTTTATTTTAATCTTGGCTAATGTAATGATGATGTGCCTTGGTGTGTTTCTTCTTGGGTCCAACTTCTTTGGGACTCTCTGAGCTTCCTGGATTTCCTGGAAGTCTATTTCCTTTGCCAGATTGGGGAAATTCTCCTTTATTATTTGTTCAAATAAGTTTTCCGCTGGTGGCTGTTCCTTTCCCCCTTCTGGTACCCCTATAATTTGGGTGTTGAAGCGTTTAAAGATGTCCTGGAAGTTCCTAAGTCTCTCCTCATTTTTTTGAATTTTTGTTTCTTCATATTTTTCTGTTTGCCATTTTTTTCTTCCTTCTGATTCACTCCCTTGATATGAGTCCCAGTTTTCTTTTCACCACTATTGGTTTCCTGTGCAATTCCCTTCATTTAAATTAGTTTAGCTTTCATATGTTCCTCTAATTTGTGACTAAAATCAACCAGTTCTGTGAGCATCCTGATGACCAGTGTTTTGAACTGTGCATCTGAAAGTTTTGCTATTTCTTCATCACTTAGAGTTATGGGCTCTGGGGCTTGGAGATCTTCTTGAGCCATTTTTGGTCTGTTCGCGCCAGTCAGGCTGAAGAATTCGTTGTTATGAGACTTTCATTAATTTGGGATGTACTACACCCTGGTAGATGGTCACTCATTTTACTGAACTGTACCAAACTGCATCTTTAAGAGGTTATATCATTAATTTCCCAGGCTGGCAGCTTCTGGGTGATGTTGTATTTGATAGGACCAGGAAATCCCCTGGCCTATCACCTCTGCTGTAACTCTTTTGCTACAGATTTGATCATTTATCTAATGTGATATTATGTGATGTATTAGTTTGTTAAGGCTGTGAGAGAATCTGTTCCATGCCACTCACCTAGCTTCTGGTGGTTTGCTAACAATCTTTGGAGTTCCTTGGCATGTAGAAGCACTACCCTGGTATCTCCTTTGCCCATCGAAGATCATTCTTCACATGTGTATGTCAGTGTTTCAATTTCCCCCTTTTATAAGGATACCAGTCAAATTGGATTAAGAGCCTACTCTACTCCAGTAAGGCCTCACCTTAACTAATTACATTTTCAACAATCCTATTTTGAAATAAGGTCATAATCTGAGATACTAGTGGGTAGCACTTCAATAGATGAGTTTTGAGGGGACACAATTTGATCATACCATGTGGAATTCTGGGTTTGTAGATCAAATACTCCATAGGTCTTTGGAGACTCATGCTGGCTGAAGTCCTACCAGCAAGAAATGCAAGCCCATATCAGAATATGTGCTG